CAGCTACAATTACCATGGGTAGTCCTTTACATTCATCACAAAGTTTCCACGGCACATCATTCAAAGACTTCAAGGAGAAGGCATCACCATCATCAATGTTTGCATGCTTTTGGAACAAAGTGAGACCAAGAGGAATGCTCTTTTGACAGTCCATTAAATTACATACACCTTGACAACGAGTGGTTACTAGGACCTTCCATTTGTCTTTGTAATCAATTGTCTAAGCGAATCCCTACATCCTCCAATTTAGACTCTCCTCATAAATCAACAACTATTATAAGAATTCGCTTTTTTTCCTTTCAAACTCAACCACAAACGTTGTGCTCTTCCCTCTTGAGATTCTTCCTCCAGCTTCAAGTTTAACATATCTCCATTTTTCCATGAATGTTTCTAACATTTGGAGTTTGAGACACTGTAATTGATATAACATCATCAAACAAATTTAACTCCTTAGCCTTCTTACCCACTTCTGTTACAAGAGGTTTTTTACCGGATCCACCCATCCCATGCACTCCTATCATATAGATGCAGTCATCCCGGAGTGCCTCCAAGAGTTGATTGTAAGCAACTTTTGTTGATTCAAAATATGTAAAATTGTAAGCTCCTTTTCATTCTCAAGTTCTTTGATTACTTTATTAACACAAAATAAGTATTGCCCTTGACGTGTTGCTGGTTCCACGAAATATTCAGTGACTTTAGCCACAATGGTGATAACAATGTCAGCCATCAAATCAAAGGCAACCTGAAAATAAAATCACGTGTATGGATTAGTCAAAGATCCATTAATGATATTACCACATGCAGAATCTCCAAAAGATAGAAAGCTCTAATTGTAACTAATTCTGTTACGTTTCTGTTTTTAGTTAGTTAGTTTTATTCAGTTAGTTAGTTTTCTTTCGTTCCTTTTTACTTGAACTGATGTATATAAATGGTGCAAGTTGCATCAGTGGGAGACAAGTTCATTTTTCACAATAATACAAACATGCAGAACATCCATTAATGAGAATTTTGTTTTTGAGTGAAATCAAATTAATTTCACCACAGCAGTTTTAGAGGGCAAAAATTAATTTAACAGTGATTTTTTCAAGGAGCACATGTACTGTTAGCTTAGCTATATTGGGAACCACTAATCGGTGAGACAAGATGTGTGCTTGTGCTTATATTGCACACACACAAAAAAAAAAAAAGCTCCTACGCAAGAAGTTAACTAAGCGCATAGATAATCTTAGTAGCATTTGCAAGCACCGGATTATGAAATATATAAATGAAAAATAACCTTGAAAAACTGTAGACAACAAATCACAATAGCATGCGTTCTTCCTAAAAGTAGCAAAAACTAGCAAGGCAGTGTAAACGAATAACTACGAAATTAAAAAAAAAAAAAAAGTATAAATTGAAGCAGTAACACCTAAGGAAATAGAAAGTTGGTTTGGGAAATGAGAGAGGGATCAGATCATACTTGTTATTCTATGCTTTTGCAAAGCGAAATGGTTAGCCTCCAACAAGGACGATCCTTTTACACTTCCACTTTCTGAGAATGACCTAAAATATATGAAGTATGGAAGTTGTATGGAAGAGTTTACAAGTAGCTTGTTACGCACTTTTTTATTTTTATTTTTGGAAAAGTTCACCGACGACGAGCCAGTCGTTTATTTCAGGTTTAAGTGATTTCTTTTTTTATCACGTATGTTTATGTGATTTGCAAAAAGGATATATTTTTTATTATATACGTCAATGTAATTTTTATTTTTTACAAACTATAAAGAAAATAAATAAAAATGGGTTTTATTAGTGTTATGTAACATGATGTAAGTATTGTTTCTAACTCTCACATCAAAAGGGGGAGAGAAAGTGGAATGATGAAAGAGAAAGAAAAATATGTGGACTCCACCTCTTTAATGTGTGTGTAGGAAAGTGAAGTTATATTATGTTAAATGATAAACATAAAACCCATAAAAAATTAAGGGATATAAATGATTATGAAGCAAACCACAATAGTATTGATGAATTTTTTTTTAAGTTAAAAGAATTAAAAAAATAAAATTAAAATCTATTTTATAATTATAAAACCTCTTTAATTTTTTCAAATTTAATTAGAATTATTTTCTCACGTTATGACCCAATTAGATATCGCCTCTTATTAAAAAAAAGCTTTGAACATAAATTGAAGATAACAATATTATAAAACACTTCTCAGGTTGCATGAGAAGTGTTTGTTATAATGGTTTTGAATAAGTGAAAATAAAATAATTTATTAGTAGAATAAATTATTAGGGTAAAAGATAAATTTATAAATAAGGGTAAAATTGTAAAATAATTTACGAATCGAAAAAAGTAGTACACATCTTAAAAAAATCTTCTTGAGAGGTTTTAACTTTTTTTTTCTTTATTATAAAAAAAAAAAATCATATAATAAGAATTTTTATAAAAAAATATTTAACTAAGATTCTGCTTTAAAGAAGAAAAAAGGTAAAATTAAAACATGCCAAACAGGCATAAGAAAACTTCATACGGGGGGGACTTTGATGATGGCTTGACTTGATTATTAGGATGACTTGAAAGTGAAACTTTTTGTCTTACTTTTTTTCTTTTAAATAATTAAATAGTTAATAAACTCATTCATTTATGACAACTTAAAATTTCTATTTCAAACTACAATTGTGGCTAATGGTCTCTAAATTTTCAGTGTAGCACGACCTTTTGATTCCGCCTATCAAGGCATTTCTAATTATCGAAGCTTGTAGAAATATAAATCGGTGAGGGGAAGCATCCAATGGAGATAAATGGTCATTTTCCGATCGACCTTTCTAATACAAACAATAAAATAATAAAATAATAAAATAATAATAAAGGAAAATATATCAGTTTGAGTGATTTTAAAATATATTTTTACATCTGTTGTGGACCAGTGGATTGCTGCCGGTGATTTCAATGAAATTGCTAGCGGAGAAAAAAGGTGGCAATCTTGCTACACTACAAAAATTCAAACATTTTGTGGGGGTCATATTTTCATATTGTGGGGGTCTTTAACCGCCACAAAGTATATTTGTGGCATTTTCAATGACCCCCCAGTTTTGCCTACGCCACAACATATTTTGTGGGGTCTTTATGTGCAATGCCACAATTTGTTGAAATATTTTCTGGAGACTCAAGACCCCCACAAATGTTTCAATTTCTGGAGGTTTAAGACCCCCACAAATTTATTGAAAATTTAAAAAAAAAATCATTAAAAATTTTACGTTTCTTTTAAAAAACAGGTAGATTCAAAAGGATAAAAAAAATTCATTCCAAATATTTGAATACATATCGAAATAGAACTTGGTTTTCAAAGATAAAAAAATCAAAGAGATGTATAAATGAAATTAAAAACTAAAAGTTATTAAAAATTGATACCAGACAAGTTTCTTACAAACAACTAGTTGTACCATGGATATTTGATACAGCAGACTCAACCGATACGTCCTATGCATGATTAACAAATTAACATGCAGAATGGAGAATAGTGTAATATACCTGCAATGCATAAGGGCCATCCGATGAGATTGTGGCATGGAAAACAACATATTGCATATCAGTAAGAGTGCAAACAATGTCAAACATGAGTTTTTAATTTATTAGTTCCCATAATATCAGTAAGAGTGTAAACAATGTCAAACATGAGTCTAGCTCTTTCGGACTAAAAATTTTAACATAAATTCAAGCATGTTGCAAATTGCTCGTTGACATGCATCACAAGTAAAGCTTGAATTTAAGAAACCATGGCTTCCACAACCACAATGATTACATGAAAATTGTAACAGCATCATTGTCACATTATCATACTAGTAATACTCATTGATGCCACTCAACTTGCTCACTATTACATGTCTGTAGCAATCAAATAAATCAACCAAAAATAGAACTACTAACCATTACAGGGCCAACTTGTACTGTTGTACAGCCTTCATCTCTAGCACTTGCAAACAAATCATCATTCATAACACATTCCATCTTAAGATAAAATCAGATGGTGATGGTCACAAGTCATAACCCATCATCTGGTAGCCATGTATATGCTTTTGGCATATGCCCCATTTTTACAGTGAAAAACAATGGTTAATAATACAAACAAGTTAAAAAAAAGCCAAACTCTGAACAAAAATGGGATACCAATGAGGCATTAGTTCCCATAATATGTCAAAGACTTCAAAGAGTTAGCATGAGCATACTTACTATATAGAAGAAAGATCTTCATATATAGTCTTGATACCAGGCCTCTCAGATACTGATCTAATTCAAATATCCAAACTTCAAAGCATAAAAGGCATGGTTTAGCAAATTATATAGTTAACTATAATAAATGCTTCATGTATTTCTAACAATTTGGAGGTTAAAAAAAAGTTTGAAAAAGAAAAAGAAAAGGACACACACCATATAGTACATGCTTGTTCAATAATTGAAAGATTACCACCAACATTTGGGAGTATGGTGCCATTTGGAAGTATTCCACCCTCACCTCCCACTCCAACTGCTATATCATCTCGCCCCATCATGTAAAGTAAGTCATAAATTTGATTCAAAAGCGTGACCGGCATTAGTCCAAGCATTTGCACAAATGGTGACTACCTGCACATGCAGGTAAGGAGACTCAAAACAACACAAAATCCAATCCTTGAATAATAATAGCTACAGAAATTGCTATTCTTGTTGGAAACCCATAACTATAATCATTACGCCTGCACTCACAAATTAAAAAAGAAAAGAAAAAAGTTAAATGCCTACATGTGAAATCTGTCAACTTGTAATTTAAATTGCCAAGTCCCTGAAAATAATCATTTTGTATTAAACCTTGTTTGCAATGTTGTTTGAGAGCCAATCAAGTCCTTCATAAAGTCCTTCAAAATATATAGAGGGGAGAAAATAATCTAGTAATTCTATTAACTCTGCCATAAATTTTTAAAATTTAAGCTTGATGATAATGTTAAAAGATTTCATCCCACTATCAAGTTCACATACTCACCCTGAGTGCTGAAGACCATGTGCCAAGTTTCTCCAGGTGCATCATCCCCAGTGATCTTTGTGTTGAGAAGACACCTATCAATGTATGGCTCCTTGGGTTTGAACTTGTTCAAAATCACACCTTCCTCCTGTTTCTTGGATTCCTTTTCAACCTTAGCAGGTACCTCTGTAGTGACTTGGGATCTGATGGAAACTATTGTTCCACTGATAGAAACATCTCTGTATTGCAATGAAACCTGAGAAACAATCCCAGATCATACTCCAATTAACCAATTATATACACAGCAGCGCTAAAATTGCACTCTCAATTGATCTCTATCTTTTGATATGCTAAAAAACAACTCACCGTGGGAGAACTATATTAACAACAAAAAAGTTTCTATCTATCTCCTCATATCATCAAAGAGAACATATAAAATAAAAGGTAGAAACAGATATAGAAAAGTAATGCGTATATCATGAAAAAAAAGAAAGAAAGAAAGAAAGAGAGAAGTATACATATCAAATGGTATATGATGTCATCCAACCAACACATAAATTGCATATATAATTCCTGGTAGGTATCCCAGTATGGTCAGCACTAGATCTATCCAGAACTCAACCTGTATTTAAATAAAAAATAGCATAATGGAATTAATCAAGCCAACAATTAATCATTACCAAACCAATTAATATGGATAGGTTTATAAATAAATAATAACAAGAACAGTTTGAATGAGAATATGACTGGGAAAAAAAATGAAAGAAAGAGAAAAGTAAGTCCTTAGGTACTGCCAAGAGTAGGTAAAAATGACTGACTACTCTAGCTTTGGTACTCGACACCTCTTCAATACTTCTGCTATCTATTTGATGCCTATTTGCTTGGTTGTTATGGGGAATCAAGGCAACCAATTCGATTTTTTTGCTATCTATTATTGAGAAATCAAAATGCCATTAAAGTATTCAGCATGCAACTTAAGATGTTTTGTGTATAATACCTTTACCTTAAGCTAATTACACCCAAGTCCAACTATGATGAGATTCAATGAGAGAAACAGGACAATTTAAAAAAAAATCTACAAGGCTAAAAACGTGAGTGCTCATGGACCAGAAACAATAAAATATTCATCGCACAAATTTGAAAATTTACCTAACCCAGGGGATCAACAAGATTTAAGTCTCACCAAAAGTTCTGCACAGATCGTAAAATGCCAATTTACACTTGGTTACTAAGAATAATTACAATAGCAATATGATATGAACTCTTTCAATGCTCACCTCAACTAATTTCTAATAGCAAAATTCAAACGTCCTAATACAAATGGAAATAGATCAACAGTGAAGTCGATTTACTCATCCTAAACATATATCAATGCAATTTGAAGGAAGTACCAATTGGTTAAGAATCCACGAAAACCAAGTGCGATTGAAGTTGGATTTCGACACCACAACATCAAAACTATGAGTTCGTTTTCCATCAAGAGAGAGAGGGGGTGCAGAGAGAGAGAGATAGTTGATGCATGTAATGGTTAAAGAACATATTGAGAATAAGTGGATCGGGCATTCGCCACATTCTTGTTAGCAATGTATTACAAAATAAAATTTTATAAAGTGCCAGTGGTTAAATATTATGGTTAAAAATCATTCTTCTTGTAGTGATATATAAATAAAGCAATATAAAATATAAAAACATAATAAAAAATTGTGGAGGTCTAAAATTCTGCCACAAATTACATTATTTAGTGGAGGTTTCCTTGACCTACACTAAATAACCTCCACTAATCACCTATTTTTTGTAGTGTAACCTTAACGCGTGTAAGCAGTTTTGGGATAGGTTGAAAGTTGAATAATTGGTAGGTGGATGATTTCAAGGTTTCTAGTGCATTTTATACATAGAGAGGGTCGAAGTGAAGACATTTGGAGTGGGTTTATAAAAAGTTGAACAGAATTTGTGCTAATCTTAATTGGTGGCTGGCATTTGATAGAGCGGATGTTTGTGAATTTAGCCAAGTGTTGTTCTGAGTTCTGACCATACACCCATGCTGTAGAGGTTAGATGGTAAGCAGGAAGATAAAATGGATAGGTCATTTAGGTTTTTGGCTGATTGGCTAAACTATTTGGAAGACATGCTATAATCTCCCTATTATACTTGAGCGGTTTGTTAGTCCTTTGGGCAGATAGAATAAAGAAGTATATGGGCAGTGGTGGATCAAGAAAATTAACGAAGGGTGGACACTCAATAAGTTCAGGTACATATAGATCAAGGTATGGTCTGGAACGTGACTTGCGAGCAGTTGTCGGCTGACTTGGTCTGATTTAAATCTAGATCTGGACGAATTGGGACTCAACTGGACCAATGATGGAGGAAGAAACAAATGTTCCAACTTCCAATAACGGAGATTGAGGTTTGAGAGGAGATGAATCAGTGTGTATATGCAAATGATAGGTCTGGAACAGAGCTCTTTGTCGTTAGGTTTGGATAATGAAGGTGGAGGAGAAAAAAAACTCACGGAAAAATAAAATAGAAGGAGGAAAATTAAAGGGGCAGGATATCGTAACAACCAACTAGGGTTACATCCAATCAATTTCACCGTTAGATCGATTATATTTATCCAATGGTTATATTTATTTCTATCTTTGTATGATTATGATTTCTCATATTTAATGCTTTTGCATTAAAAATGAGAAATCATAACCATACAAAGGTGAAAATAAATATAAAGTATTAAATATGGGGAATCATAATCATACAAAGATAAAAATAAATATAACCGTTGGATCAACATAATCGATCTAACGGTGAAATTGATTGGTAGTAACATTGGTAGTAACCGTAATTAATTGTTATAATATCCTACCCCAAAATTAAATTGGAAAAACTTGAATTTTAAAATAAGAGTATTTTTGTATTTTTACATCATATTTTAAGGGTGGGTATTTGCCCCCTTCTCATATACCTCTATCCGCCTCTGTATATGGGGATATTTTTAAACAAAAAAGGAGCTGAATTTAGAGCTTGAGCAGATTCAACGAGCATGGATTGTAAATGACTCAAGGGATTTGGAAGCTTAAGAAGATAAGCACTAGCAACAGCCAAATAATGTTCTAGGAAGGGAAGAGATGCTTTGGTTTCAAAAATCTCGTCACAAGTGGTTAACAGATAGGGATCATAATACCAAGTTCTACCACTTGATGACAATCAATCGTTGCAGTTTTATTAAGATTTTGAGTAAATACATTTTTCGGTCCTCAGCAAATTTCACGATGCCCGCTTTAGTCCCTAGCAAATAAAAAGGTTATTCGTAGTCTCTAAGAAATTTAAAATGGATCCATTTTAGTCCTTTTGAGGGACTAATGTGGGTCTTTTTTGAATTTGTGAGGGATCACGATTTCAACTAAATGGGTCCATTTTGAATTTTTTAGGGACCACGAATAGCCTTTTTATTTGCTAGGGACTAAATCGGGTATCGTGAAATTTGCTGAGGACCAAAAAGGGTATTTACTCTAAGATTTTTAAGCTATGGGATTATCATGACATTTGGATACAAGATTAACAACAACTGAAAGACATGGCGCGTAAATTTTTTTAAATGTTGTTTATGGAGGATATTCCTACTCGCAGATGGCTCACGTCCTCGTGGCCGATTACCACCGATGAGCTTCTTAACGGTTTGTATAGGGTACCATCTTACATATAGGTACATCAATGTTTGTTTAATATGGGAAGTTATAATGCCCTTGGCCTATATGGGTTCCCTGCGATTTTCTTCCCAAGAAAGTGGAGTCTTATTCGGGACCAAATTATAAGACTGGTAGTTGATGTATGGAAAAACCCATCTTACATCTGGCACTTGTTGGTGTTGATTCCTAAAGCCGAGGTTCCTATATCAATTACTCAGTTTCGGCCTATTTCTTTATGTTTTATCATGTATAAATTGATCTCTAAAATCATTGTCAAGCGGCTGCAAACTATTATGGAAAAGGTAATTTCTCCTTACTAGGCTAGTTTCATTCTTAATAGGCAAATTCATGACAACATTATTAACACAAGAGCTGGTCCACAGTATACATAAGATGAAAGGGAGAAAATTCATGGCTATCAAGGTTGATTTGGAAAAAGCATACGACATGTTGAATTTGAATTTTTTGAAAAATGTTTTAAGCGAGGTGGGTCTGCCAGCAAAACTGATTGATTCAATAATGGAGGCTATTTCTGCTTTATCTATAAATATCCTTTGGAATGGAGGAAAGACGACACCATTTAATCCTTCCTGTGGTGTTAGACAAAGGGATCCTCTGTCGCCATATTTGTTTACGTTAGCCAAGGATAAACTTTCCCATATTATTTGCGCGACTGCTAATGGAGGGCTATGGGAACCTATTAAGGCGGGAAAAGGTGGTCCCCCATTCTCTCACTTAATATTCACTGATGATTTATTATTATTTGTTGAGGCGAGGGAAGATCAAATGCATATTGTTTTGAAGTGTCTCTTGTTCTATGAAGAGATTTCAGGATTGAGGTTGAGTATTGCCAAGACAAGTATATATTTTTGTTGACTTCTAAATTTGCAGATTGGCAATGGGAGAAAAATTGACTTCTGGAAGAACAACTGGACTGGCCTCTCTTCCAACCTCCTTTCTCTAGCTGTAGTTCCTCCATCGGTTGAAGATTCTAATATGAAAATAAACCACAGTTCCTTTGTTGTTGAGGAGGGTTGGAATATCCAATATCTATTACAACATTTTGATATTAATGTTGTGAATAGAATCCTGGCTATCCCTCACCCTGATGCAGAAGAAGGTGATGATTTCTTGACTGGAAAAACTACAAACCAGGTCAATCAATTGTTAAATTAGCTTACAACAATTGGTTGAGTTCGGTTTCCTCATCTCCTAGTAGCTGTTAGGACAGAATTTGGAAATGGAAAGGGAAAGAGAGGGTGAAGTTCCACATGTGGAAGATGTTGCATGAAAGATTGCCAACCAAGGAGCTTATAGCCAAGTGGAGTGGTTCCTTGAATGCTTGTCCCTCATGCCCTGTAATAGTGGAGACTTGTCTTCATGTATTCAGAGACTTCCCAAAAGCAAAAAAGGTTTGGCTCCTACCTTTTGTGCAACCCCTTCCTCAAGGCTTCTTTAGCCTTTGTTCCTTCAAGGATTGGATGTCTTCTAACCTGAACTAAAGTAATAGATCAAGGAGGGATTGGGGGGATTATTTTTTTAATATTTGCAATTCTTTGTGACTTGGAGAAATAAGGAACTTTATGAAGAGAATTTCAAGAGACCGGATAACCCTTCTCTACTTATTTCTGAGTTTATAGAGGAAAGTAGGTATTGTACTAAGAATAGATCTCTAGTCTGTTCTGGTTCGAATCCTTTATGCTCTCATTTGCTCTCTACTTGGACGGCTCCTTATCGTCGTTTTTTAAAGCTAAATGTGGATGGGGCTGCTCTTATCAACAAGGCTTTGTGTGGTGGTCTTTTAAGAGACTGCAAGGGTGCCTCGATTAGTGGTTTTTCTGCATTCATAGGTTCTTGTTCCCCCTTTCAAGCTGAACTATGGGCCATTCTCTATGGTTTAATTTTCGTTTGGAATTTGGGTTGGAAAAGTATTTTGTTGGAATCAGATTCTCTTCAAGCTGTTAGCCTTCTTACCAATATTGGTAATGATACTCGAGAGCTTCCGTTGGTAGCTAAGATTCGAGTTTTTCTGAATAAGGATTGGACTGTTTTGGTTAATTTTGTTCCTAGGATCTGCAATGAGTGCGCAGACAGGATAAGAAAAATGGCACTAAATGACCCTCCTGGCCTTCGTACTATTTCTTCTCCTCCAAGGGAACTAATTAATTTTCTTGCTGCTGATATTCTAGATCCAGGTTTGGAGGATGCTGCATACAACTGAAGTTTCTAGTCTTCAGTATCTCTGAGTTGTGCAGGGATTCTGTTTGTCGCTTTTTTCCCTTCTGTTTTATGTCTTTTGTTTTTCTCTATTTGTATTGGGGCATAGCCCCTCACTACACCAAAAGCGGGATTTAGCGGCAGTTTGTTTTAGATTTAGCGGCGGTTCAAACCGCCGCTAAAAAATCCAGTGGCTAATTCATAACCGACTTAGAAACTGGCGACGTTAAAAAATTTAGCGTCCATTTACAGTAACTGCCGGAATAACCGACGCGAAAAAACAAACCGACGCAGAATATATACAAACCGCCATTGATTATTAGAAAAAAATTAATAATTTTTTATAGCGACGGTTTTGAACCGTCGCTAAATCATGTAATTTTTTTTTTAAAATTAAATTTTTGTGATGGTTTCAATGAATATAATTTTTTTTTTTTGTAAACATAAATATTTTAAACAGCCACTGAATTGTAAAATGCATTTAAATTATATAATATGACTCAAATTCTTGCAGTAATTTCATTAATCATAAATACATTTATTGTTTATAATCAAACATGTTATTATAAACATAGGCATATGAGCACACAGCAAAAAAAAAGTAGCAATATGCCTTAAACATAGGCATCTGAGCACACAACAAAAAAGTAGCAAAAATAAATACATATGGAATATGTACCCGATTTATTAAGCACTACTGTAACGCAACTCGAAGTTCAAAGAATTATATATATCCTTTACAAGATTAAATATCCCGATTTATTAAGCAAAAAACAATAACCACTAATATTTGTACTGCGCCGATCTACAAAGCTAAATGAAACCAAGAACAATAAGAATATTATACATGAAGGGGATTTGTTGGAGATTAAATAGAATTCAACATATATATCACTTCACTTAGTCACCACTTAGCGAGCCTTTCTTTCTTTCTTTCTCTATTAAGTTTGAGCAGAGCAGGAAACACCCTCTGCAAGAGTGCAACTGCAAAGAGAAACAAAAAATAATTACCGAACACTAACTTAAGAGAGTGCAAAAGATGTCTTCAGCAAGTGACACTGAATAAAAATATAGCCAAATAAAGTTCATGAACAAGAAGTAATACTTAATAACGTTATAAGAACACAAAAAAGGAAGATTTCTTCTGATGTTAAAATAATAAAATAATTTTACGGTTAACTGTCGTTTAGATGTTAATACGATACTCTAGGCTTTGGTATTCCATTCCAAGTAGTAGAAAATAATAAATATAGTAAACAAATTTTGAGTTTTCAGCTGATCAACAAGTGCAGGAACAAACACTTACAAACATAATCACACAACTAGGTTCAATATAGGTGCAGAAGACCCATGTTAGATTAATTTTCTCAATAAAGAAGTGATAGAGGCACAAAAATGTATAACAGCAGCACTAGTTTAAAGCATGAATAAGAGACAATAACCTAACAAGCAAAGTGTGTGCAGTCCCATCATTCGATTTCTTTGAATCTTTTCATATAAGCTATCAGGTCTCCATGTCTCTGTAAAGAATGGTATAGAAACAGTCTCCCCATACCGATACAGCTGCAGACCATAAATTCCAACTGCATTCATCACAGAATGCGTTGTGCATTCATCACACATGTGTCATATTTTCCCATTTATAGGACATACATATATAATTGCCTGTAGTTAATTTTATAAAATTGTGATAGGTCAGCATTTTTAGCCCTTTTTCCCTATATTTGCAAAAAAAATTAAAAACAAAAGGAACCAAAACCAAACGAAAGGAAACAAGATTATGAAAAGCACACCACTTATTCTGAGCTTCATAAAGTATAAGGAACTCAATGGCTTGTGCAGCAGGATCATCAATTTCGATTTTAAGGAAGGATCCTGAGCCAGACTAATAAGAGAAAAGTAAAAGGAAAATTAATCAAACAGTAATGAAATCTATATTTAAATCAGTCAAGCCAGTTTATAAATATTCCTTGAAACTATTTTTCTTCTGCAGTAATTATTGGAAACTTATTTTCATAAAAAAGAGTTCTAAGAGCTCTGTTCTTATAATTTTTGGTTCCATCTGAGCAATGAGAAGGGAGTACCCACTTCCTGAAAACATTAAAAAAGTATAAGGGGGAAAATAAATCTCCTTCAAATTACAACATATTCTTGGGTATCAAGTACAACTCCCTAATGTAAAAAGCAAAGAACCACTACAATTTGAAGCCTGAATATCTACTTGTAATGCAGCACCTGGTGCGGAAGAACTAACATCGACATGCTCCATTGAATACTTGCATCCATTAGCTAAGAGATTACTATAATCTCATTTATCATTCACGTATACAATTCAATATTTTGGGCCAGCCATATACCTGCATTTCAATATTTCCCTCAAGGTTGAACTTCCCTGAAAGCTGCTCCAGGGCAAAAAAAGGTTGAACACAAGATAACATGTGCCCAAATAACTGGTAGATATTCAAGCAACTGTCTTATACACAAGTATTTAATGCCTCAAACGGGTTAATATTATTTTCCAATCAGACAGATAACAACCATAGATCTTACGCAACCATAGATCTTACGCACCCATAGATCTTACACAACTGTTGATTTCCAGTTTGTTTATTGTGTGTTTGTTATGTTGAGTTTATTATGTGATGGCCACACATAGGCTACTCCTAGTGGTGTGGAATTATTGAGAAATAATTCACATTAGACCCCACTGTAAGCACATGGAAAGTTGAGAGATCTTTCTCAATAGGTATGGCTCCAGGGATAAAGTTACCCCTATGTAACTTAAGGAAATGGTGCTTCAAGGTCTTGTGATAACAGTGACATAGGGATATGTCATCTGTTGTTTATGGAAAAAATTGTTGTTGGGAAACAATGGTTATTTTAGTATTTTCGTTACGCTAGAAGCAACATCTATTTTCTGTCAAAGCAACCTAATGGCAAATGAGGGAAGGAGAAATTGATACCCAACTTGTTTTCAAACTCTGTTTTTAAAATCAATTTTGTTGTCACTTTGTATTTTTGCTCAAATCAGAAGTTAATTTTCTGTTTTAACATTTAAGAGAAAATCATAAAAAAGTTTACAATTCTGCCATTAATTTAATTTTCCAGTCAGTTAATAATTCTTTCAACAAGCGAATCTTTATTTGAAAAAGAAAATCTTCTCAAAAATATTTTCCTTGCACTTAGTGTAAAATAGCAGTAGTATTTAATTTTATTTAATTTTATCTTTTTGGTTCTGTTTAGCAATTACCAATTTATTCCAAGTCAAAACGCCAAAGATCCTTGTGGTAACGATAACTGGGATTCACAAAAAGCCCTATATTACTTGTTGTCACGTATACTTGCGCGCTCACTTACATAACTGTTAGCAAGGCAACAAGTTTTTGGCGCCGTTGCCGGGGATCAAAGGCGTACATTGTCAATTTTCTGAGTGATTGTTGTTTCCGAGTTAATTCCATTTTCTTTTGTTTTTATTTTTAGTTTAATTTTAATTCTGTTTCTTTATTGTGTTAGTAGCTACTGTTGAATTTTCTTGAATAGTGGTCATTTGATTTTTGTTCTTTTGATATTCTGTTTTATCTGCATGTTTTATATAGTTGTATTGTCATTTAATTTTTTAGTTATTATTTCATTGCTGTTACTTTGGTTCTTAATTTTTTCATGTCAATCTTTTATTTTTATTTCTAGTTTCATTCCCTTAGTCTAATTTTTTTTTTACTGTTCTATAACACTATCTGTTTGTGGTTACTGTTGGTGTTTCAAATTCTTTTCTGTTTGGTTGGTTGTTTGATTTTTTTTAAGGAAATACTGAATAGGAATTTTGTTTGCTTAAGCTAGGTAGATTTAAATTTTTTTAGTAAAAAGGGTGCATGAGTTTAACTCCACACCCTTTCTTAGAATCTTTTGACCCTGAACCTGAAAGGACCTTTAGAGTGAGGAGACGAACCCAAAGAGCAACTAGGCAGATCCCACTTCCAGATTTTGAAGAAATGGAGGATTTAGGAAGTGTAAATGGGAATGAAGGAGGCCCTGCGAGGATAGAGAACCCACCAATAATAGATGACAATGATAGGTCCATGATGGACTTCATCATACCTGTGTTGGATGAGTTAGACCCAAGTATTGCCCAACCTGTTAATGGAGTGCCCTTTAAGTTAGAACCTGTGATGTTCACCATTCTCCAAAATATGGGGTAGTTCCACGGTCTACTGATGGAAGACCCACATAAGCACCTTAGGAATTTCATAGAAGTGGCCAACACTTTTAGGAATCCTAACATCTCAGATGATGTGCTGAGATTGAAGCTTTCCCCTCACTCACTGGCTGACAAAGCCAAAGAGTGGTTCAACTCCCTTCCGTCCAACTCCATAACCAATTGGCACACATTGGCTGAAAAATTTATCATGAAAATTTTCCCATCCAACAAGATAGTGCAAACCAGATGTGATATCACCAACTTCATGTAGAAGGATGGTGAGACCTTAGTGAATGTGTGAGAGAGGTTTAAGATCCTTCTTAAGCAATGTCCCAACCATGGCTTGCCCTCTTGGGCAGTGTTACAAACCCTTTACAACAGCCTGAATACTCAAAACAGAGCCTTAGCAAATTCTGCTACTAATGGCATGTTTACGTCCATGTCTTTTAATCAAGCCCATGAGTTGTTGGAACAAATGACTCAAAATTATGCCCAATGGCCTGAAGAGAGAAATCAGCCAAGGAGAGTAGCTGGTTTGCATGAGGTAGATCCTGTAACAGCCCTTTCAGCCAAGTTTGATGCACTATCCATTTTAGTGAGAACCCAAGGACAAGCCATTGAGGCAAGATTGTCTCAGCCTCAAGTTCCAATGCCTACACCTCAAGTTCCATTACCCCAAACTCAAGTCAATGCAGTGAACACAGGTGAAACTTGTGTTTTCTGTGGTGGGCCACATTTGTTTGGTAGCTTCCCATCAAACCCAGAATCTGTTTACTATGTGGGGAACCAAAATAGAAACCAAAATAATTTTTCCAATAATTTTAATCAAGGTTGAGACAAAATCAACAGCCCCAATATTTCCAAGGGCAAGGGCAGCAAGCTGGACCTTCTAATGCCCAAACAAGACCACCTTTTCCTCCTCAAAATTTCCAACAACCTCCAAGGCAGCAACCTGCTGCTCAGTCTTCAGCCTCATTTACTCAAAACCAAGCTGGTGAGATGTCTCCCTCTTCAACCTCTTCCTTAGAGGCTTTGTTGAGGGAATATTTGGTTAAGAATGAAACTAAGCAAAATAGCTTGGAAGCTGTTGTGCAAAGTATTCCTGCATATTTGAGGAATTTAAAATCCCAACTAGGCCATTTAGCAAATACTTAGAATAGCAGACCCCCTGGTACTTTGCCTAGTAACACTGAAGAGCCTAGGAGGAATAATGAGCAATGTCACATGATAGAGCTTAGGAATGGCAGATCTGTAAATCAGCCAGAAGCTGTGGTTAGACCTTCCACATTAAAAAAAAAGAGAAGAGGAAAAAGTGCAACAAGAAAAGATGTAAATCCTGAACCTGTGCAGCCACGTGTTGTCCATTGCAGCCCCAAGGGGCTGCAAATAGTGATCCTCTGCCTATTCTGGTTGAACAAGAAATTCAGACTCAACTAGACCCATCTTTAGGGACTATTCCCATGGAAAAGTCCATTCCAAAGGGTCAAGCATATCAGTCAAATGTTGAGACACCAGCTGTCTCAAATAGACCCCCACCCCCTTTTCCTCAAAGGTTGCAAAAACAGAGGCAAGACAATCAATTTAGGAAATTTTTAGACCTCCTAAAACAGTTGCATGTCAACATTCCATTCGTGGATGCATTAGAACAAATGCCTACTTATGTGAAATTCATGAAGAAAATTCTTTCAAGAAAGAGGAGGCTAGAAGAATTTGAGACTGTTGCTCTTACACAAGAGAGCAGTCAATATTTGCTTAGCAAGATACCTCCCAAATTAGGAGATCCAGGAAGTTTTACAATCCCATGCACCATAGGAGACCATTACATAGGCAGAGCATTGTGTGATTTAGGTGCTAGTATCAATTTAATGCCTCTGAGTGTGTACAAGAAGTTGAAAGTAGGAGAGCCGAATCCTACCACTGTAACTTTACAGTTGGCTGATAGGTCCCTAGTTTATCCTGAAGGGAAGGTAGAGAATGTCTTGGTAAAGGTAGATAAATTTATTCTACCTGCTAATTTTATTATTTTGGACTACGAGGAAGACCGAGAGGTGCCTATAATTTTAAGAAGGGCTTTCTTAGCCACTGGTGGGGCTGTGATAGATGTTAAAGAGGGTGAATTGCCCACGAATGTCAATGGTGAGTAAGTAAAATTCAATATTTTGAAGGCCATGAAATACCCAAGAGACATAGAGGAGTGTTCTAGGCTAGATATCATTGACTGTGTAGTCAAAGATAAATTTTTACATGAGTCTGCATTAGACTCTTTAAAAATTTCTGGTTTTGAGGGTCTAGAAATCAGTCAAACTGATTCAGAGGAAGTTGTTAAATGGTTAAATTCCAGATCTGATGTGGTTTGGAAAAATAAAAATTTTGAGTCCTTAGAATTGGCCAAGAGAGGTTTAAAAATTCCCAAACCCTCAATTGAAGAACCTCCTGTGTTAGAGCTCAAGCCTCTGCCTAATCACCTTAGGTATGCTTATTTAGGAGAAAAAGACACTCTGCCTGTCACAGTGTCCAATCTGCTCACTGTTTTAGAGGAAGAACAGTTGTTGGCTGTTCTAAAAAAATTTAAGAGGGCTATAGGTTGGTCTTTGGCAGATATAAAAGGTATTAACTCCTCTTATTGCATGCATAAAATCTTTTTTAGTGACCCAACCAGCAGCTCTAGAGAGCAGCAAAGGAGACTTAACCCAATTATGAAGGAGGTAGTAAAAAAGAAAATTATTAAGTGGCTGGATGCTGGGATTATATATCCTGTTTCTGACAGTAACTGGGTCAGCCCAGTGCAGTGTGTCCCTAAAAAGGGTGGGATCACTGTTGTGGAAAATGAGAAGAAAGAATTAATACCCACTAGGACTGTCACTGGTTGGAGGATCTGTATGGATTACAGAAAACTCAACAAAGCCACTCGGAAGGACCATTTTCCCTTACCTTTTATTGACCAGATGTTGGATAGATTGGCTGGTAGGGAGTTTTACTGTTTTCTAGATGGCTATTCAGATTACAATCAAATAGCCTTAGCCCCTGAGGACTAGCCAAAGACCACATTTACTTGTCCCTATGGCATCTTTTCCTTTAGGAGAATGCCCTTTGGGCTGTGCAATGCACCAGCCACCTTTCAAAGGTGCATGATGGCCATTTTTACTGATATGATAGAGCAGTTATGGAAGTCTTCATGGATGACTTCAGTGTTTTTGGGGACTCTTACAAAGAGTGCTTAGAAAATTTGGAAAGAGTGCTTGAGAGATGTGAGGAGACAAATCTGGTCCTCAATTGGGAGAAGTGTCACTTTATGGTGAGGGAAGGCATTGTGTTAGGACATAGGATCTCTAAAGCTGGTTTAGAGGTTGATAAAGCCAAGATAGATCAGATTGAGAAACTGCCACCCCCTGTAAACATAAAAGGAATTAGATCATTTCTTGGACATGCTGGTTTTTATAGGAGGCTTATAAAAGATTTTTCAAAAACTTATAAGCCTCTTAGTCATTTGCTTGAAATCAACACCCCTTTCCATTTTGACGAGGCTTGTCTTAAATCCTTCGAGGAGCTAAAACAGAAGTTGATTTCTGCTCCCATTATAATAGCCCCTGACTGGTCACTGCCATTTGAGTTAATGTGTGATGCAAGTGATTGGGCAGTGGGGGCTGTGTTAGGACAAAGAAAAAATAGAGTTTTTCACTCTATTTACTATGCTAGCAGAACCTTAAATGGAGCCCAATTAAATTACACAGTGACTGAAAAGGAACTGTTAGCTGTGGTGTTTGCCTTTGACAAATTTAGATCATATTTGGTGGGCACCAAGGTCATTGTGTATACTGACCTTTCAGCCATTAAATATTTAGTGGAAAAGAAAGATTCAAAGCCTAGGATAATTAGGTGGATCCTTCTCCTTCAAGAGTTTGATATGGAGATTAAAGATAGGAAAGGATCCGAAAATCAAGTGGCTGATCACTTGTCTAGGCTGAATGAAGGGCAGCAATGTGAAAGGGTAGTTGAGCAAGCCATTAGAGAAACTTTTCCTGATGAGCAACTATTTTTGGTTGCCACTCACACAACCCCATGGATTGCTGACATAGCTAATTATTTAGTTAGTGGGGTGCTTCCTAAAGAGTTGAGTTATCAACAAAGGAAGAAGTTGATACATGACAGTAAATTTTACCTCTGGGATGAACCTTACATGTTTAAAAAATGTGCTGACCAGATCATTACGAGATGTATTTTAGAAGAAGAAAAATAGGCAATTCTTAGACAATGCCATGACTCACCATATGGTGGTCACTTTGGTGGCATGAGGACAGCAGCAAAGGTGCTGCAGTCCGGTCTTTATTGGCCAACCTTGTTTAATGATGTCAATTCTTATGTTCACAAGTGTGATAGGTGCCAAAGACTTGGCAATATTTCTGCAAGGCATGAAATGCCTTTGAAACCTATTCTAGAGGTTGAACTCTTTAAAGAAAGTGGTTGATGAAGTCTTCTCCTCAAAAAAAGAGAGGAAAATCTGTTCCTAGTGGTGAGAGTTCTAGGCAACAGGAAATTGAAAATATTAGAAAGCATGTTGAGCAAATCGATGCTCCCACTTTAAATCATTTCCCCCGTGGTTGGTTGAACAATGATCTGACACATATGTACATGTTAATCTCACAAATGCATGATCATAATCAAAAACATGATTTGTTATTTCAAAAAGCATATGATCAGTTTTATTCATTCATGTATGATAGAACCAGATTAAATGATTATATTGCAGAAAGGTATAGGGTGTTAAATGATTTTTTGAAAAAAACTTTTGTAAATTTTCCTGGTTTGCCTCCATTTCCTCAAAGTTTAACTTGGCCACCTTCTTCAGTTTTTGCTGATCCTCAGGTTGAAAAATTTATGGCAACAACAGCTGGTCCTCCTCCTCCTCAACCTACAAAGAAAGAGGACACTCCTCCTCAACCTACCAAGCAGGAAGACACATCAACTAGCTCAAGGAAGAGATGAAGGCCGCGGTTAAAAGCTGTTATGGAAAAAGTCAGTGAGCATGAGGAAGAGAATGAAGTGGAAAGATCAGAATCTGAATCTGAAGATGTGGATAAATTTGAGTCTGGAGACTCAGATTTAAAGAAGAATAGGTCAGAACATCTTCTAGCCTCAGGTTACATTGTTCTGATTTGTTGTAAATTTTTATAACCTGTTGGATGCACAGTGAGGACACTACTGAACTCAAGTTTGGGGGAGAGTACCATATTTGCTTTTTAAATTTTTTTTATTGGCTGTGGTGATTTTTTGTGAATATGTTTGTTGTTTTTAAAATTAGAATTTTGTTTGCTGTTTGAAAAGTTAGAAGTTAAAGTTGTGATTAAAAAGATAATAATAATAATAAAAAAATTCTTGTTTCAAAATTTTGTGCATGAAATAAGAGCAGATGGATTCTGATTAAGGAGCTTGGATTTTTTTTTTTAAAATGCTCAGCTGTCAGTTGTGTGAATATAGACATTGAGAGAAGAGTGTTTAGATGGCTAAGGGATGATATCAGGAAGAGATTGATAATGTTAATGGACTGAGGCAGGGAAGAAAATTGGATCAATAGGTGATTGAGATGGTAATTGAACCCAGTAAGGATTTGGGCTTAAACAAATGATTTTTTTTTCATGAGAGATCTTCACTTGGGTAGATGAGGCAGAACTTGGTTTGATGCTTAGTTGATTAAGTGTAGCATTTGTTCTGGTTTGAAATGATAAGGGCTCTCTTTTTCGTGTAGCATTGTTGAGCCAAAAAAGCCATCCTGGAATTATTGACCATTGGAAACCCATTTGTGCTTGAGCCTTGTTTTTTGTGTAACCACAATGAAACCCATCCATAGTCTCACCTTACCATGTAGTTGTGATGGAAAACAAGAAAGAAATTAAAGAAAAAAATCTTGAGGCAAGTTACTGTTGGCTGAAGAAAAATGTAAAGTGTTGTTGTTTACTTAGAACTAAGTGTTTACTTTTCTGATGTAGTTGTTAAAAAAAAAATTGGTGAATAGAAGAAAAAGAAAAAGTACTCAACAGTAGGAAAAGTAGCCACTAAGACTGTTAGACCAGTGCCTCTGATATGTGCTGTATTTTTTTTCATCACAACTACTTAGACATCATTCCCACAAATATCATACCCGCACCTCAGCCAAAGTACAATCCCTGCAAGTCCCTTTTGATTAAACCTTAACTTGCTGTTGCACTTAGGAAACTTTAGCATCTTATCAAGCCTATGTCAAGGCTATTCCTAGTGAGGTATGGAGAGAAACAGATCCCTGAAACACTGAGTGAGAATGTGAGGAGGAAGTGAGCCGTTATACTTGCCTAAATTACTTGTTGTGATAATTTTGTTCGCTGTTGTTAAGAATTGGAAAATCAAAAATCTTCTCTGATATTATTCCATTAGCCATTGAGGACATTCTTGAACATGAAGTGCACACTGTTTGCTTAGTGGTTTTGATGAATTGAATGTTTACTCAAGCTATTTGATTAGTTGATTCAATTGCTGTTGTTTTGATGTACAAAGTTTGTGAATTAGGTCATGAGTTTGATCATTGGAATTATCTTGAAAATCTGTTTGATTGGGAATGAGGTTACATGTGATGATAAGAATTGATGAGTAATCATTCTTACTGTTTCGCTGATTGGAAATTGTTCCTTGGGGACAAGCAACAATGTAAGTTTGGGGGTGTGATAAGTTTATGATATGTGACTTGGAACATGTGATTTAATGAGAAAATATAAATGGAAAGAGTATCTTGTGTATAATATAAACCCCAAAATTGCATAGAAATGAAGGATTCTGATTTTAAGTGCTAATGGGCTGGTTTTGTATTTTGCAGGCCCAATTACTGATTTTGTCCAAGAAAAGAAAGAAAGAAAAAGACTAGGCTGATCACCAAATCAGAAGCCCAATCCAAAGAAGAAAAGAAAGAAAGTGATTGAGAGAAAGGGAAGCTCAGACGCGTGAAATCACAAGGAAGAAAAGAACCGATACTTGCAAACCCTAGCTCCTCAACTCACCCATCCAAACCCTCATCTCAACCGATCCTTCTGAATCCTTTCGCCAATCCAGACCGTCCTTCGATTTCGGTCGAAACCACCAAACCTTAGCCTCACCCACGGTTCATTTTGTGACCAAACCA